ATCATAATTTTCTGTTAGATAAGACCTTTAAGTAGAGTATATAAACTTGACATTTGATTGATCTTGAAACCCAGTAAGGTACACCTCTGATTGAGTTGGGCTGTTTCATATTGTGGTTAGGTAACCAATAAGAAACTTTGTAATATATCAGATTGTTGACTGATTGGTGATTGATTGGGGGAGGCTCGCACATTTTTCATGTTTAATAGAGGGTAGTATTAGAGATATGTGAATATCTAGTTGTGTTTTTACAGACAAGCTAGCTTGCCTGTAAATTTAAACAAATGGCAAAATTATTTTAAATAATTGAGGGTTTTTAGATGACAAAATAGTGTTTTGACCCTGAGCCTTTTTCATGTACATAGTGTAGATGATGTAGGTAAAGACAACAACAGAACAGAAAAACAATAATGTAACCGTACATGCACAATTTTGATGATGATGTCGTCCTAATTTATTTTGAATCACTGTCATGCACATATACCAGATTACATTAACAGCCCCCCCCCCCCCAATATAATGTTTTGAATATATTGTCTGAATTGTGTTTCAGTTAAAAAAAGATTACTTGGAAGGCGTTGGTGATACATTGGATGTTGTTGTGCTTGGTGGTTACCATGGTAGGGGTAAACGTACTGGTACATATGGTGGATTTCTATTGGCTTGTTATGATGATGAGACTGAAGAATTTCAGACGATATGCAAGGTATGGGTTTTAGTGTGTTGAATACTTTCATGGAAGCATAAAAACTTAACCACTTTTAAATAATTAGTTTTGAAAAATGATTGAATTTTTGAATACAAAATGATGTTAACATTTTGAGCTGGTCAGTAAAAAAATTTAGATTTCAAGCTTCATTTCCATCAAAACACAACTGTTTGTGATGTTTCACGGCTACAAAAATTGTTTGCGCGCTGTTTTGATTTCTTCACTTATTCCAGAGAGTATAGATGTCTTATATATGATAGTGTCAGTGATTTTTTGTTAAAATTTACACATTTTAAGGATTTAACTACCTGAATGTTAAAACATGTATATTTTGGTGAAAACACAACATTAAAAAAATAGTTATGCAAAATCCCTTTGACTTATAAGTACATTTATTTCATGTACATTTTTTCAACAAAGAATATTATGGTGTCTTTAATTTCATCACGGTATTCATTTGAATCGTCAATAAAGGAATTATTTACTAAGTCGTCACATGACCACAGGAAGGTCAAGGCAACATTGATTTTAAATTAGTGTAAATTATAAGCTTTCATAAAATGTATAGTTTGATATGGTAACAATATTTTCATGAAAGTATTTATTGTGAATTCCATATCCTTTTATTAGACTCATACAAATTTCCTTGTAAAAACCTTATCCAACAATAGAGCATGCTCATTTTGAGATGAAATTATTCTGTTAAGTTACTTGGCAACAAGGAAGACAATCTTGTGTTCAAATTCGTCAGCTGGTTCATTTGACGTATTGTTGCTTTATAAACTAAATTTCAACATTACAAAAGGAGCATATATGTCATACAGCGCCCTCTATTGGTGAAGCAGGCAGAATTAACATTCTCTGCGCATTGAACAAGTATGGTTGACAATGGAATGCCGACATACGGTCTCTGTCGAGACAATTAATCCGATTGTCTTAGGGAAGTAAACAAATCTAGAAATGACTGTCCCTCTGGTTTACCCACAATGCATTGCTATCTAGAAGGAGGCTTGTTCCATATTTTAGATTACATTAAAGACACAAGTCTTGTCTATGTACATAATATCTTTCTCTCAGTGAGTACCAAGGGGTCTATCACAGGAAAATCTGTCTTCATCATTAAAAAAATGCTTTATTTTGAGTTATAGAAAAAAATTCACTTTTTTTAAAAGGATATAGCTCAATCAAAATAGAAACACACCAGCTTTAATATGTCTTGAAGTTAAAAATAAAAAGGGAGGGTGAATTTTAAGTGTTATTAGTATTTATTTTGACTTGTGAAAAAAAAAAATGACTTGCTTCATGGTAAACATTATAATTTATTCATATGGCTTTTACTAATACCTTGGAATTGTATGGCTGCAGTCTGGTCTATTGTACCTATCAAAAGAAACACATTTAATCTATATTACTACCGGCATCGATAAACATTCTTAAAGTCTAACAATAAGGCATTGAATTATTGCCATGGATACTGTGAAGTCACAATTACTTCACCTTTAGGCTGATATTCCTTCAAACTCTTCTACTCTGATAATGAGCTAAAGGTCATCGAACTTTGTGTTTGGAAATATCAATATTTTCCCATTTTATGATAAAAATGTCAATCAAAAAGTTTGTTCGATTGGTGATTCATTACACCACTAATAAAAACAACTGTAAACAGTTGAATTTTTGCCATTAGAAATACTTTAGGTCTAAAAAGTTTCTGTGAAATTATCACTACTACTTTAATAATATTTGGTGTTATTTCCTGACGTAAATAAGTCTTCCATAAAATTTGAGGGGCTTACTATATATTCATTTTATGTGTATTCACATAGCAGCAAAAGTCTTCAATGCTTGGTCTGTCTGCAATTGAGACTTGGTCAAGTGATCATGTGACTAAATTTCAATGTAGGCAGCTAATGGGTCTTTCAAAGATAAAAGTAGACAATTAATTAGAGGTTGGTTGTCTTCTATTGAAACTTCAGCAATGTTGTCTCGTGATTACGTCGCTAATACCTGAAGATTGTTATGTAAGCATTACAGAATGAATACGTTGAACCTCACCTATTTGAATGTCTTGTATAAACTTATATATTGTAAATTATTAATTTTTGCCAGGAATATTCTGGATTTAACGCTTCACACATAAAAATAAAACAAAAAAGAATAGTTTTCACTAATGTTGTGATTTTGTGTCCAATGTTAATGTGTCAATTTAGTTTTGCAATTATCTCTGTCAGGAAATTCACAATTTGTTTTCCTCATAAAAATAAAAAAGTATTTGGTTGCATAGATTGTAGAAAATCCCAGAAATATGAAAATAACATTTCAAAATTTTACTCCACTTGAGCCATGTTTGATATACTCATTGCAGTTTGCTGAAGGAGATTGGCATTTAAATGTCTGCCACAAAGATTGATTTTCTTGTGACGTTACAACCACTACACTCTTAAGGCTTTTAGCTTGTTAAACCATTCTAATGTTTAAAGTGTTGTTAATTTCAAGAACCATACTGCTGCTACCATTTTGTAGTCTATGTTGGTAACCTTAGTAACAGCCTATTCAGAAATACCCAAGGTTATTTCAAATTAAATTGTTTCACTTCATTTTAGAATATATTGCTCATATCCTTAGCATCGTGTTAGATTATGTTGCAGTATACTGTATTTGTGTAATTAAAGGTGTATGTGTTTATGGCAATGACTTATTAGTCCCAGTTCAGATGAAGTTAGAATACAGGGACTAATAATTTCACCTCTGCATGCGTCCTCCCAGCTGTATCTCATACATGCCTTGTTCAATCACATTCAAACGTCATGCACGCATGCATCATGGTGCATCATGGGATGCATGGTGCATCATGGGATGCATACACAGATGCATTTGTTGCATAATCCAATTCAAGATAACTTGATGGTGCCCATTTTATTGCTAAATCAGGATAGAAAAATGTTCAATCAGAATGCTTTATCTTATTACACTATTATAATTCACAACAGCTCTGTTGTAGTAGAAACGTTTTTCTGAACTAGATTTTATGGATGGATTTATTTCAAATGTGGTACATAACTACTGTGGAATACTTTATTTTCGCTGGAATTAATTTTCGCTGAAAAAGCTTTTTGAGCGTTTTGTATGGAATTTATTCTCACTGATTTTTGATGAGTTTAGTGTGAAATCTAGCAAAAAAAATATATTCGCTGGATTTTATTTCCACGGAATCATCCCTTCAGCGAAAATAAATTCCAAGTGAAAATAAAATATTCTACAGTATATTTGCCAGCGTTTTTAATCTCCCACATACTTTGATGATTACATTCACATCTTGTTAATGTCACATAGAACAATATGCACATGTACCTCTATATTCGTGTTATGACTCGTTACATAATACACCTGCATAATGTTTATCATTATCAAGACCTTTTAAAGTGAATAGGAAATTATGTTCATTTTATTCAAAATTAACAACAAAATTAAAGAAAAATACATTGTGCAAATAATTTGTGCAAAATATTTTTCTAAAGTCTTAGTGTGAAATATTAGGCAATGTTACAATTTTGGAAATGATAATGAAGAGAAGATTTCTATTCTGTCTTCTTTTTTACAGATAGGCACTGGTTTCAAAGATGAAGAATTGGAGCAGCACAGTACATTTTTCAAAGACCATATCATTGAGAAACCGAAAGCCTACTATCGATGGGATTCGTCCGTAGAGCCTAATCATTGGTTTGATGCTGTACAGGTATGGGAGATCAAAGCCGCCGATCTGTCCATATCTCCAGTGCACAAAGCGGGAGCTGGAATTGTAAGTTGAATTTGTATCACACCAATATGGTGTACTTTGTACTACTAATTTGGATTTTAACCCACATACTATGTATCCTACTCTGTTGACATTATACTAATGAATACCTCATATGGTCCTGTTAACCTTGTATTTAAAAAAAAAAAAAAATATCACAGGATCACTCTGAGACATTTATACATACAGTTAAATTATAAGGGATTCACTCCATTATAACTGTTTGTTGACATATTGGATAGTACTAATGTCTAAGTATGTCTACCAACGTTGATGGTTGTACATTTGTAGTTATGGCTGCTGACGGTTTTCAATAGAAATATCATGTCACTATTTTTTTCAAAATATACTTTCGGTCATCATTATATTGTCATGGCAACATGCAAGTAATGGCTCTCATTTAGTCTAAAATTCTCATATTGCTGTGATGAAAACGGTATCGTCACATGATAAAATGGTAATGTGTACCATATTATATCAGCTGATATTTAACGCTAAATGTCAGAAATGTGAATGATATGCACCATGGTCATATGATCTGCTGTAAAACTATCCAAGATTAAAACATTTTAATATATTTTTGAATTCACAGGTTTGCCTGTAGATTTAAAAAATATATATATTTGTGGTTAGAAAAAAATTGGACCAGCAAGGCAACAACACTTTTTTTGTAATGTCTTAGTTTTGTCTGGGTTTAACAAATCATGTTTTGTAAAATTCTGCCAATGCTTAATGTTCAAACATATTGCCCTCTACAGTTGAATAGTAGAGAGGGTGGGATCGTTAAACTGTAGTGCCCTTTAATGACCTCGAAAACAAAAAAATAACAACATTAATTCCTGCAATATGTTTCATTATTTGGTCACATGTTTATCGGATTTTGTCGCTACCATCTAATGTAAATGTTAGCCAGATATGATTGGATGCATATCAATTGCGTTTTTCTATTGACTGAATTTAGAACACTATTGACAACCAGCTTTCGCTATTTTCGTTGAAAGGATGATTCCGTGAAAATAAAATCCAGCGAATATTCTTTTTTCCCTATATTTCACATTCAACTCGCCAAAAATCAGTGAAAATATATTCCATACAAAACATTCTAAATGCTTTTTCAGCGAAAATTAATTCCAGCTAAAATAAAGTATTTCACAGTATGTTTTTTTCTGTGCGAGGTTCGTGTCCCATATGGCTGTTCAATAAGCTCAACACAACGTAACCCCATTTTCACCAGCTGACTATGTTGTTTCCGATTCAGTCATTTATTATTTAAATTTTCACTCAGGTTTGTTTGGGATGTGACATACATTGCACGCATGGATTATCGCAAATCTGTGATTTGAAAGAGTAAAAAAAATAATAGACAACCTGAACCATGGAGCAGATTGAGTGGGAAGGTCGAGTGCACAGATTGGAAAACAACAACATTTTTTTTTTCATTATCTGTGAATTTAACCTGCTCTCTATATGGTCTCTGGTCTTTGTGTTTAATTCGGTGTAGTTTCTTACTCCGGGCCATAACACAATGAAAAAATAATAAATTATTTGATTATTTCAAGTTGTCAGCCATAGGCCTAACCAGTTTAATTTCCTGACGTATTAAAATTGTGAAGTTGGATAATCAATCTGTCCTGCCAAGCAGCTTTTCACTTGTAGTACCAAACCATGTACAAGTCCAATATGGCATTTGTTCTCCAACGATATCATTTCCCGACAAATGGCGCTAAAATTGAAGATTTTTCTCCATTAGTTTACTCATGGTGTGCCTCTGCAAGTAGGTCCTGTAAATAGTTCACTGTCCTTTTCCTGCATTAGCACATATGTGACTGTTATATTTCATAATTATTTTTAATCACATCCTTCATTTTGTAATCTATGCCCAGCAACACTTGAAACACACTGTATATTAATTTTGTCGTCTGAAATGAAGATAAATATGGAATAATTTTATAAATTGTGAGTCTATATAAGCTGTTCAAAGTTTGGTGCATCACATCACCTAGGTAACAGGGTTTTTTTTGCATGGAATAATGTAACAGTTGCACACAAAAAATTTTGAAACAATGTAACAAAATGTAACAGATGATTTTATTGTGATGTGTGAATATTCATTACAGCTAAATGTCACAATTATTTTCACAATATTTGCAATATGGTTCAGACTGTTTTTTACATATGTTTATAATTATTGAATAGTCACTTTAATAGATATGCCTAGATCTATTTTACACTTCACACATGTTTTTTTTCATATGCGCATGCATTCGTTTTGTGATTTGATTCAAGATGGCTGAACAACGACCATTTTGATGCTGTCATTCCGGAACCGAATCTTGCTCACATGTTGGCTTATTTTGTTTGCACGACAGAGACTGTATCATGTCAATGAATTGTTGTTTCTGTACTCAATAACACTTTGTAATAGATTTTTTGAAACACAACATCCTAGTCATCATACATTTGAAATGAAAATATAATTTTGTGGTCATGAAATGAAAATATCATTTGATGGTCCTGAAATGAAAATATCATTTAGTGGTTCTGAAATGAGAATATCATTTAGTGATCCTGAAATGAAAATATCATTTAGTGGTTCTGAAATGAAAATATTATTTAGTGGTCTTAAAATGAAAGTATCATTTGGTGGTCTTAAAATGAAAGTATTATTTGGTGGTCTTAAAATGAAAGTATCATTTGGTGTTTATGAAATGTAATATCATTTGGTGGTAATAAAATGAAAATATCATTTGGTGGTCCTGAAATGAAAGTATCATTTAGTGGTCTTGTAAATGAAAATATCATTCGATGGTCTTAAAATGAAAGTATCATTTGGTGCTTATGAAATGTAATATCATTTGGTGGTAATAAAATAAAAATATCATTTGGTGGTCATGAAATGAAAGTATCATTTGGTGCTTATGAAATGTAATATCATTTGGTGGTAATAAAAAGAAAATATCATTTGGTGGTCATGAAATGAAAATATCATTTAGTGGTTCTGAAATGAAAATATTTAGTGGTCTTAAAATGAAAGTATCATTTGGTGCTTATGAAATGTAATATCATTTGGTGGTAATAAAATGAAAACATCATTTGGTGGTTCTTTTAATGAAAACATCATTTTCAAATTGTTAATTCTGGAAATTGAAGTGGGTTATTGTCCTTGTAATATTCAGTATTTAATGTGTCTGGTTTCACTATCGATTACATTTCTGTACACAGTGACGATCAACATATAATGAATTCCATACAAATTATATCAATATTTACATCTAAGTTTGTATAATTACCAACACTCTGAAAATTCCATCACTGAACTTTATTTTGAATAAATACAAAGCATAACGATTGAAAATTACATAAAAAATGTTGCTTTCAATATATCAATATGACATCATTGGTAGCAGCTGTTACATTTTAAACAGGACACATACATACTCACCCCCGGAAAACAATTAATAAATCCAATTCATGGTTTCACCTAAGATTTACCACTTATTATCAGTTAATACTTTGACCAGCCAAGTCAAAATTTGTCATCCTTTAAAAAATAACCCTGGATAAAATAATGCAGGTACTAAATTATTTTGAAAAAAATACTTCAAGAATATTTGTTGGGGGAAAGTTGTAGATTCAAGGATAAAGGATAATTTTTTTTTTTTAAATATTCACGTGTCAGGTGACATTTCTGGACATTGAAGTTACTGCTTTCTACCCTGACTTAGTATACTGAGCGCTGCTAATAATATTAATGATAATAATATACTTTGAGTGGACCCCTCTTAGGTTTGTTCATTTTGTGAAGATATCTTCAAATCTCTAAATTTAATAAATATTTTGTCATTATTGGTCAAAAGTGCTATTTGAGTGGGCCTTAGTCAGATTTGTTCATTTTGGGATGATACATTCAATCTACTGGTACTAATTTTTATTGAATATTTTTGGTAAAAAATTCTCTTTTTCGACTTCTTCTTTAAAATGGTTGGCCCAATTACTTTGTGATTTTATATATGTAGACACATTGAGTGGACCTCTTATATATTTCGTTTTGATAAGTTTAATTTTCTAATTTTAGTGAATATTTTTGCTGAAAATGTTACCGTACTGGACCGTGTTAGCGCCAAGGGTCCTCAACTCAGAAAATCATGATTTTTTAGGGGTGGGTGCTTACCTGGGCACCCTCCTCAGAAAAGAGTGCAAATGACAATTTTAATTCATCATGTGACACTTTGAGGCAGATATTACGTCTTTGAAGGTAAATCAAATTACGAAATTAGTTGCGTCGTCATTGACTTTGAAAATAAAGAAACAGAAATGATCACAAAAAATGTGTACATTTCATTACATTAGATTAAAAATATTAGAGTCTGTTGGAACACAGTTGAAGTCAAAATCTTCATCATTATCCCCACTTGACAAATGTGTTGGATCGTACGCAAACTCTCGATGAAAAGCACTTTCCGCCATGATGTATTTGCATGATTTGACCTGCAGTAATGGAAGTGAATTGTCTCTGTCGATGTATGATCTTTTGGAATTGATTTCGGCAAATAAACGACATGGTTTTTTCAAAAAAAAGGGTAATTAGCAATTTTTGATAGGTAAACTGAATATGGCATGAAATATCTCAATATGACGTGAAATATCTCAATATGACGTGAAATATTTACCGCATTTTACTTTTATTAACAGGTCATTGTCGAAGCGTAGTTTATGCACGGTTACCGTGGTCTACGCATTCACAACATATTCTCAGAGGTCAATGATTACCAGTATTCGTTAAGTTTTAAATTAGTGGCATTTTGAAGGAGTGGGCGCTTTGTTGAATGTGATTTCGAATATAAAAATTGTGTAAAAGTGGGGGGTGGGCGCTTGACCGGGCAGACATGGGCGCTAACGCGGTCCAGTAGTATTTTCAACTATACAGTGGAGGTATATCAGCTGACAGACTGCTTATTTGACCAAAGTGCATGTGTGCAAGCCAGTCTCCCAAAATTAATACAGGGCAGGGCAGGCTGGACCCATATCTGAGTCAACAGTTGGCTCCAGGTTTTGAACCAGGAACCTCCGTGATGCAAGGCGAACATGCTAACTCCAGGTCAAGGGGTTAAAATGATGAGTCCATTTCTGACTTTGTTGTACCTGGTTTTGGATAATGAGTTTTTGACTCCCGAAGCACATAAGTCTTTGCAGTTGTTGTGTCTGTACGTGTGTGTATCCATCTGAAATATGTGCATACTAATTATCTAATTTGCTTAATGATTAGTTAATTTTCAGCTTTTCTACTGATATCTCAAGTACTAATCAAGTACTATTAATGCACAGACCTGATAAGATTTTAGTAATATCCATGCATATTAATTACCTAATTTGCATAATTAGTGACTTTTTTGCTTTTCCATGGATATTTCCAGTTCTAATCACATTTCAATGAAATCTGGTACATTGATGGTCTGCGACATTGTTTGAAAGACTAATTAATTATTAGTTTGTCTCAAATACTCTCAGCACACAGGAGTTCTTTCTAAGCTTTCTTTGATTTCAACTTTCGTGTATCTGGTTTTAATTATTTGTAACTTGCTGTTCACCAACAAATTGTATCTAATTCCTTATTTTGTGATTTTTTTTGCTCTTTTGTTGCGTAATCTTGGTATGATATTCTGAATGTGTGAAATATTATTAATGATTTACTAAATTTCATCATTCCTGTTTGTTTTGCAAACATTTAGGGATTGAGTTCAGTATAACAATTAAAATGTTACAACCAAAATACATGTCAATTTTTAAAATTCTAAAAATAGTGATTTTTTTCAGCTAAAAGGGAAATGTCATTTACTAGTAATCAGAATTATTTTTTGTTTTTTTTAAATACCAGGTAGACCCAGAGAAAGGAATTTCACTCAGATTTCCTCGATTTCTACGTATACGTGATGACAAAAAACCAGAAGAAGCGACATCAGCCAGTCAGGTAAATTCATCAAATATCTGACTCTGAGTGGGCGTGGGAATTCCGCTTTCACAATTTCATTGATAAATGCTTCCTGTTTTTCTGACATTTACTGTCATCAATGGATCTTTATAGAAATGCCAACAAGAGTATAAATTAGTGACCCTTTGGTCACATGACTTAGTGGAATTAATACTAGATGTGAAAATAGTTAGTTATATGAATTATAATTTATACTATGTAAATATGTATTTGTGTGACTGAATTGTCAAAAACTCGTAAAACTGCATTACTATACATAAGAGAGGTAACTGTCTGTGCATATTAATTAAATAATTTGCATACTAATTAACTGCTTTCAGCTTGTTTTGTTGATATCCTAATAGTTTTCTCAAATGAGATAAAACTTGGTACATGGATACTGTTTATGTTGTTAAATATCTAATAATACTTAATAATTAATCTTTTTATGTTAATTAGCTAATTTGCATACAAATTAACTCATCTCAGCATGGTTACCATAACATTTTGCTCAAGTTATTAAAATTAAAATTTGGTACATGTATATTGTTTGTGTAGATGAACGACTTAAACTAATTTGGAATTAATCTGCATATGTTAATAAGTAATTTGCATACTAGTTGACTCCTATTAGCATGGTTTGCTACAATGAATTAAAACTAGGTACATTGTAGCTACTTGTGTATAGAAATGTCTGATAATAATTTGCAAACACAAACGAAAAAGTTACATTTATTGTATACTTGATCATTGACTAATTTAGCCACAGATGTACCTAATTATTTACTGATAATTAGTCCCCGTTCGGTCTCCGACCGTCCGTCCGGAGTCATATCTCAGAATCCTTTGGACTGATTCCGTTCATTCTTTGCATGTACTTTATGTGGGACATATGCACATGCAGTAGTTTAACGATTCGATTCAAAATGGCTGACTGGAAGCCATTTTGTTTTTTGAAAATGTTGTATTTTGAACAAGCTTTGTCAGTTTTCATTCAAATTTGGTACATAGAATATACATGTTAGAATAAATGTCCTTCGACTGTTCGCGAGTCCGTCAGTGCTTCAGTCCGTTCGTGCGTCAATCCGTCCAGAGTCATATTTAAGAATCCTTTGGACCGATTCCGTTCATTCTTTGCATGTACTTTATGTGGGACATATGCACATGCAGTGGTTTAACGATTCGATTCAAAATGGCTGACTGGAAGCCATTTTGTTTTTTGAAAATGTTGTATTTTGAACATGCTTTGTCAGTGTTCATTCAAATTTGGTACATTGAATATACATGTTAGAATAAATGTCCTTCGACTGTTCGCGAGTCCGTCAGTGCTTCTGTCCGTTCGTGCGTCAGTCCGTCCAGAGTCATATTTCAGAATCCTTTGGACCGATTCTGTTCATTCTTTGCATGTACATAGTACTTTATGTGGGACATATGCACATGTAGTCGTTTAGCAATTCAATTCAAAATGGCCGACTGGCAGCCATATGGTTTTTGAAAATGTCGTATTTTTTACATGCTTTGTCAGTTTTCATTCAAACTTGGTACATAGATTATACATGTTAGGATTCATGTCCGTGACGATTTATTTCACAATTGGATCAAAGATGGCCAACTGGCAGGCATCTTGTTTTGTTTTTATATGTGGTATCTTGGACATGCTTTGTCAGTTTTCATTCAAGTTTGGCACATACTTTATACATGTTAGGATACATGTCCAGGACAATTTGTTTCAAAATCAGATCAAGGATGGTCGATTGACAGCCATCTGACTTTTTGGCCTTACCACTATATTTCCAAGATTTATGTACCATTTTCATTTGTATTTGGCACATACATCATACATGTCAGTTTGTTTCATAATCATAATAAGGGCTGTTTTTATTTTTGGCCATATTACTCTATCTCTGTCACCCATGTATCATTTTCATTGATATTTAGCATGTCATAAATGGATACATGTCAATTCAATTCAATTCACCAACTGGTGGCCATCTTGTTTGTTTAAAATGTGATAACTTGGACATGCTTTCACTTTTGATCGTTGTTTTTCTTTGCTATGTCTTGAAACAGGTGGGGTCGTCACGCAACAAGTGTTCGAATTTGATGTGAATAAACAATCTGTTGTATACGCCACTTGGGACTCAAGTTTCAAGGACACGCTCACGACAACCCCTCTGCTTTAATATGATGAGCACAAAGACCCTGACTTGTTATAATATGATAACTGTTATCAGCTATTTTCTGTATCATTTCAATACAAGATTAAAAATACAATAAACAACACTGGATCAGAAAATCTTTACGTTAGTTTTTAATTAGTCATCTCAATTAATTTGCGTAGTCAGCAATAAATCAAAACACAGAAGCACATTCGGTTCATCTAGTTGTGGAAAATAGTGATGTTAATGGCAGGTGGAAGACCTGGTTGCTACATGGAAAGAATATTTGAGGTGATCACCTTATTGTAAATGATAATGATACTGTGGGTGTATGCCGCCTGCGTTGAAACATTAAAATGCATCGTCCATTTAACATATTGTGTGTGGGCGTTAATTCACCTTAACTACAGGTCATTATTTTTTGTGGTGATTTCCTTTTTATTAAAAAAAATACTTTGAACGAGAATTATGTTGGCTCGGAGAACAACTATTTGACATGGTGGTAGAGACATATGGTTACAAAAAAGCTGTGGAAAGCAATTTGTAGTGCTGAATAAGGGTTCATTGTGGGGTCAAAGTGATGAATAATTGTGCATTGTGGGTCAGTGATATGCTTGATAAGTTGGTGCATTGTGGGTCAGTGATATGCTGAATAAATTGGTGCATTGTGGGTAATTGGTGTGCTTGATAAATTGGTTCATTGTGGGACAGTAATATGCTGAATAAATTGGTGCATTGTGGGTAATTATTGTACTGAATAAATTGGTGCATTGTGGGTAATAATTGATGTGCTTGATAAATTGGTTCATTGTGGGTCAGTAATATGCTAAATAAATTGGTGCATTGTGGGTAATTATTGTGCTTGATAAATTGGTGCATTGTGGGTAATTGATCTGCTTGATAAATTGGTTCATTGTGGGTCAGTAATATGCTGAATAAATTGGTGCATTGTGGGTAATTATTGTGCTTGATAAATTGGTGCATTGTGGATAATTGATATGCTGAATAAATTAGTGCATTGTGGGTAATTGATATGCTGAATAAATTGGTTCGTTTTGGGTAATTGATATGCTAAATAAAATGGTGCATTCTGGGTAATTGATATGCTGAATGCATTGTGGGTAATTGATATGCTGAATGAATTGGTGCATTGTGGGTAATTGATATGCTGAATAAATTGGTGCATTGTAGGTAATTGATATGCTGAATAAATTGGTGCATTGTGGGTAATTGATATGCTGAATACATTGGTGCATTGTGGGTAATTGATATGCTGAATACATTGGTGCATTGTGGGTAATTGATATGCTGAATACATTGGTGCATTGTGGGTAATTGATATGCTGAATACATTGGTGCATTGTGGGTAATTGATATGCTAAATAAATTGGTGCATTGTGGGTAATTGATATGCTGAATACATTGGTGCATTGTGGGTAATTGATATGCTGAATAAATTGGTACATTGTTGGTAATTGATATGCTGAATACATTGGTGCATTGTGGGTAATTGATATGCTGAATAAATTGGTGCATTGTGGGTAATTGATGTGCCTGATAAATTGGTGCATTGTGGGTAATTGATGTGCCTGATAAATTGGTGCATTGTGGGTAATTGATATGCTGAATAAATTGGTGCATTGTGGGTAATTGATATGCTGAATATGTTGGTGCATTGTGGGTAATTGGTATACTTAAAAATGATACATTGTGGGTAATTGATATGCTGAATACATTGGTGCATTGTGGGTAATTGATGATAAAATGATGTATTATGGGTAGGGATATACTGAATTGATGCATTGTGGGATGGTAAGGCATCTTGTATTGTGTCTTGTGGGGGTGGCATCTAGAGACTATACCTTTGTTTTAGTTTTAGTACAACTCATTTTGACTAAAAACCAGATCTGGTTGTCATTTTATAGCTGTATCTCATCTCAAGGACACTGCCGATTATCTTTTTGTTTCAAGGTACATATCATTTTAGGCCCTGGAGGGACAGGTATATAGTGACAGACATTGGATACCCAACTGAATAAATAATGTTGTTTATTTAGCTTTGACACATCCTACTTAAGACTCTCTGTCTCCTGAGTATTTTTAAAGTCTGGAGAATACATCATAATATCTGTAGGAAGGGATTTAATTTGAACATGTGCATTTTGGAAATGAATGATGAAAGCAGTCTTAAATCAACTGTGATTATCCGTATCCTGGCTTCTGATAATCGTTGACAAATGTTAATAGGGTCCATTAAACCTAGTTATTCATATTAGAAATCCTTCAGAGAGTATTTGTATGTCATTTGTACATATTAACTCTTTAAATTCCTGGATTTTTTCCACCTATATTTTGGTGCTACTTTTTGTATATTTTATGTATTTTTCTATAATTTATTTGTTAATTTTAGATGAAATAGACATACTTTTATATTACCTTCATGTTTTGATAAAAAATTGTAAATAAGAGAAAGATAGAAAGTTGAGTTTTTCATAAAAAGGTTTTATCATGTTAAAACAGGTAATACCAGTAGCATGAAAAACATCACCCGTATGGTG